TGGGGAGGCCCACGCCAGGACTCCTCTTCCTCTGCTGAGGAAGAAGAAGAGAGGTGAGATCCAGCCCCTGAAATCAAGCAAGACATGTCTGCCCAAGACATGTCTACCCATGCTGGGTGTCCCCGCATCCACAGCCCCGAGAGAGCACACGGGAAGGGGCCACAGGGAGGCTGCAACAACCTCATCATCTTGTTCTTTAACACAGTCTCCTCCACCTCGCTGGAGATCCACCACCTCCTCGCATGCCTACAGCCCCACACCAGCCACTGCAGTGTGGCGGGGGGCGCCCAGCCAGCCCAGCCAGGAGCCTGTCCTGCCCAGCATCGGAGGCACAGCTCAGAGCCTCCCAGCCCTCCTCCCTCCTCGCTGCCCCACCCTCCTCCTCACGACCGCCCTGCACTCCCACCAGCCAGGCACTCACCTCTGTGCGTGGCGGGCTCTGCGGTGGCATCAGCAGTGCCCTGAGGGACAGAAACACAGGACTGCCTCCATCCACGTTCATGTAGCTGGGACGCAGCATCCCTGAGACATTTTCCCACCCACCTCCTGGATCCTCTTGCTCCTCAAGACACCATCCTGGGAGAAGAAGCTGCCACAGCTGGGTGCAGCTGGTAGGGCCACTCTCTCCTGAGCATCATCCTAAGTAAAACAGCTCCTGGCCATGTCCAGGGGCTGCCCACAGAGCGTCCGTGCCAGCATGCCATGCAGGTGAGACCCAGGCTGCTGCTACTGGGCAGGCATCTCCACATGGCGCCCGGGAAGGGCATCTGGGTGTGGTAAAAACTGCCACTGTCACTGACGGCTCTGGAGGGCTGAGGACAGCCACTCCTTCGACCTGCCTCAACAGTGCTGCCTACTAGAAGGGTGCTTGGTGCTAGATGCTCTTTCTCAGCATCCCCTCCTGACAAACTCATGGCTGCCAGAGGAGATGCTGGAGCGCAGCCTGGGTCTCTGCTCCAAGGACCTATCTGCAATGGATGAAGAAAACAGGCAGCTGAGCAACAAAAGTCCCACACTAGCCCTGCTTCAAATCTGGAAGCTTTGGTTCAATTTTCTGCCCTGTCCTGAGATTTCTCATGCGTCCTTGGGCAAGTCACTTCATGTCTATGAAGCAGTGATGATGGCAGTGCTGTCCCCTCTCTCAGAGGTGCAACAAGTACTTTCTGAAGACTGGGCTGCTATAGCAAGGAGGGGCACAGAGATCATCAGGACAGATATGGCCCAACTTCTAGTGACAGCAGAGATCAAGAGACACACATTTTTCAAGTGAGACTCATAATAAGGAAACTCAGCCCCATGAGAGTCTGGCAGAGAATCAGTCCCCAGGCTGCTCCCGTCAGACAGGGTGAATTCACCCAGCCAGTGTGGGAGACCCCTGCCCCGACTGCTCCAGTGGCATTTCCACTGTGCCCACGCCAACACAGGGAGACCTGTCTGTGAGCTGGGCTTAAACATGACAGCGGGCTGTGCAAGAGGAGTGCTCCACAAGCTGTCTGCAGCAGTTCCCCTTCCCCTGGCACCCTCCCAGCCCCGCAGCCAGGCCAGGCTGACAGCAGCCTGGGCTCCTACCCCAGCTCCAGCGAATGCCAGCTGGAGTCAACACTGACCACGCACTAGTGCAGCAGAGCTCCCAGCTCCTGTTGCTTTGAGCTAATGGCCTCTTAGCAAGGGCTGAGCAGGCACATGGCACAGTGCCTACAGCCACGGCAACTCAGCCAGGGTGGTAGGCTTTGTAGTTCCTACTCTGTTTCCTCCAGCAGCAGCTGATTGCTCTCTTTATTGCTCTCTCTGATATTTCACAACTCCCTGTCACCTATTAGTATGACATCCCCCTTCCTGCCCATCAAGCTACCATGGATGCACCCAGATGCAGCAAGACGAACCTTACTCACCTGTGCAGTAGGAGAAACTTCACCTGCAAAGTGAAAGAGTGTATGGTGAGTAGAGACAAGGCAGGAAGGCATCCTCCTCAAACCCTGGCTGCCCTAACTTCACCCCACCTCTAAGACACTGCCTCTCAGTCCCTCATGCTCCTCCACAACAGCTTGTTCCCAAAGCCAACACACCTGGACTCCTCTCCTGGCACTGCACAGACCCCAGGAGCTTCCGCCTCACCAGGTGCTGGCATGAACAGTTGGTCATGCTTCCCTCCAGCTGGGCTGGACAAAAGCCCAACGACTGCAGTGCCAGGGCTGCCACACAGACCTGAGGTCCCCATGGAGGCAACCTGGCTAGCCAGCACCAACTGCAAAAATGCGGTTGCAGGAGCCTGAAACACTCAGCCTCCTCTCCTAAGGCTTGCAGACATGGTGTCTCATGCCTCAGAGACATCAATAGGGCTGAAGAACACCTTGGATATTCATACAGATGTAGAAAGCCCTTATCTGATAGAAGTCCATCCATGGGGGCATGGCAAGACCTGGGAATGTGCCCACCCTTGCTAGGGGCCCAGATGGAGCAGCTTGAAGCAGTACACCCCACGCTACCCTCTCCTGCTGAGGTGCCAGGGTGGGGGAATGCCTCCAGTACACCTCCACGGAGGCTGTCCTGCAGTTGCTGTCTCCTTGCTGCCCAGTTCAGTGTCCAGTTGCTGCTCTCCCCTTGCTCTTCCAAGCTGAGGGGCAGCTCTTCTGCCTCTGCCTTCCTCATTGACAGGCGGATATCAGAGCTGGAGTAGGTGTAGCCATGTCCTGCTGGGCAAATCTCCTTGAATGCTTCTGCGAGGGAAAATCAAATCAAAGCTTCAGAGGGCAAAGGTTGGAAGCAAGAGGCTGGTGCAGGGATCACCTGGCTTATCACACCCAGGCATGATGGTGGGACAAGTGGAATAAAGGAGTGAAGATGGACAGGCATGTACAATTTCTTCCCATCCTACAATTTTCTGCAGATTTGTAAGAGTTAAATCCTTACAGAAACACATCTGGGCTACAGTGGGTGGATGCTTTGAGCAGAAGGAATCTGCTCACAGGGCAGGGTGGGTTTCTAACAGGACTGGCTGGCACCCCTAGACACCAAAAACTAAATTCCCCCCCTTGGTCAGTACTGCCAGGAAGGGTTCATACCACAGGAAGGTACAAGCTGAGCAAGGGAACAGAGAAAAGCAAACCCCAGGTACCTGGGCACTGAGCACTTTGCGTATCACTCAGGATGCTCTGCACAAACCACACCAAGATTTTTCCCAGCCCTGAGGATTTAGGTGCTTTCCCCTCCATCCTGCCCCACGCAGAGATATACCAAACTCATCCTCACCTGGCTCTCACCCCAGCAGAAGATGTATGAGAGACAAAAGGGCTGTCAAGCAAAGCCAGGCACAGACACGGCTGTGCTTTCCCTCTGATACAGAGTGGTTTCCCATCAGGGATTTTTCTGTCTTCCCAGTACTATCTAGGCCTGCTTCCTGGGCTGTTGTACCCATCTCGCAGGCCAGCATTTGCACTGCTCAGCTCTGCGTCCTGCAGCCGACTGCGTGACAGCAAGTTCAGGCAAGCCCAAACCCCAGTCTAACCAGAGCAGGCAAAGCTGAAGCGGGCACGTCTCACCTGAGCCAGGCATGGGGCACTCCTCACAGTTCTTCCCCCAGCCCTTGCCGACGCGGCTGCAGCAGCAGATCTGCTGGGTGATGCGGTGGGAGAGGGGGAAGGAGCACACACCTCCAGCTGCCGAGCGGTAACACAGCCCCTGTTCCATTGACACCGCTTTGTCCGCTGAAACACAACGGCAGGGTCAGTGCCAGAGGTCAAGCTCTATGCTCTGCAGAGAGAGACGCTCCGTCTCTCCCCCTCACGCCTTTCTCTGCCCATGTCTGCCAGTCTGTCCTGAGGGCTGCCCCATCCTCTCCTCAGAACAGTCCCTGGCCTTCACCCATCAGACCATCCTCCCAGCAGCACCAGCCCCAGGCAAATCCAGCTCTTGTGGGAGCTCTCAACCCAGGAAGCTGTGTCCTCTGCTGCTGCACCACAGGCACGTCCCCGCCAGGCTCCGCAGAGGCCATGAGACGTCAATGGGGAAGAACAATGCATGAAGGGGGCCCGAGGCATGGGGATCCCTCCTGCACACAAGTGCAGGACAGCATAACTCAACCGGACTTGCAAGAGACGCAAAGCATGCTGCAGCCTCCACTCAGCCGTAGGGCCCTGCTCAGACCTCTTCCCAAACTGAGGGGTTCCCCGGAGCACTCACAGATGCAGTGGCTACGGGAGGGGTCCAGCATGGTACCAGGCTTGCAGGTGCAGCGGAAGCTGCCACGAGCGTTCACACACTCGGCATCTTTGCACAGGCCCTGCATCAAGCACTCGTTGATATCTGTGGACAGGAGACAGCCTGGTGAGATGTGAGGAAGCTGAGGGTGAACTGAAGCCCCTACCCAGCGCCTCCCACTGAGGCGCCATGGACCAAGGGTGTCTCAGCCGGGCTGGTGTCCGAGGCAGCCTCTGCACGACGGAACAGCAGTAATAACAATGAGTCAGTAAACGATAAGATTACAATGCCTGTTTCTCCATCTGTACAGTAATTTTATGTCCTCCGCGGCGACAGCAGTCCCACATCTGTGGTGCAGAGCTCGCTCGCTGCAGCTGCAGGGATGGCTTGTGAATGACTGCGAAGCTTCATGGTCCTTGTGGAAAACACATGTGGCCCCTACGGTGAGCCACCCCGGTGGGGTCACTCTTGCGGCCACCACGGCTGTCGTTTGCAAGCCTACACTGGTGAGTCTTGTCCTTTCACCCGATCCCCAGTCCTGGTCGTATGGAGCCATCATCCATGGAGAATCCTTGCTGAGAAACTCAGTGCCAGCAGGCAGGGAGGGCAGTGACGGATCCCATCCAGAGGCAGAGAGATGGTGGCCCAGGCTGTGGCTCACCACTGTAGTGTCTTCTTCCAGCAAGAGGTCGAGTAAGTGGGAAGTCATCAAGCTCAAGCCCTGCCTCAAGCTCTGCCTCTGCCCCTGACTCAGCATGCATCAGGCACAGTCTTCGGGAAGGGAGCTGGGCTTCTCGCAGGGAAACACCATCAGGCTCACCCATTTGACCTGTAATAAAGCCTTTCCTACAGCACCATGTAGGAATGTAAAAGCTAAGCCAGAGAAGACAGGGATTGGCAAAATGTGCATAAAGGGGAGCTGAAGGCAGTGAGCCCTTCTCATGGATTGATGTAGCTTTTTATCTTTACTAGAGAGCCTGGCCCAGAAAAGTCAGTGTGCTGAAGAAATGTGCTCTGTCAGGAGGCACAAGCAGTGCAGGAAGAGCTGGCTGGGAGCACAGAGTGGCAGGAGTGGGATGAACCTCAGCACCACCCCGGGACAAATCACAGGAACATATATTACAAACCAAGAGGTGGGAGCAGGCAGTGAGAGGGGCTTGGACACATCCACTGCTCATAGGACAGCCACAAGTTGCCAAGACCAAGAAATGCCAATGTGATGCTAGGCAGCGTCATGCCAGACACTTTCCAAACACACAGGGCAGTCTCAATGCCAGTGTACCAGCTTCTGGTGAGACCTCAGGTGCCCTGCGAGCACCCAGCAGAGTTCTAGAGACTATCTCAAGGTGGAAGGGGTGCAGAGGCGGGCTGCTGGGAGACTCGGGAGAATGGAGACTCTGGAAGAGCCTGACTGAGAGCAGCTAGGCTCAGGAATGGCTTCCCCAGCACTACCTCATTCCCAGGAGCCGAAGCATCATTGCTTGGAGGAAGTGGGGGTGTCACACAGCCAGCTATGACAGCTGGAGTTCAGACTTAATGACCTGAGAGGTCCAGTGCTGTGCTCTTAAAACTCCCCCATTCACCCCACCGGCTGCCCCATACATGTCTGAGACACATAGGGACCATCAAGACCACGCCATGATGTTCAGTCAGTTGGAAGTACCAACGCTACAGGGATGCGCAGCAGGCCAGGGAGGAGCAGGATTTGGCTGTATAATGTAATGGTTTCCTGCTCCATACCAAGCACAGGACAGAGCTCATGAGAACAACCAGCGGCCAGACTCCAAATGTGCCAGGAACCCCACTCAGAGAAGAGGCTTGGGCTCTCCAGAGGAGCCTCAGGGTTCATCGCTGTCACTCCCCGGCACGGTTGGAGCACCATGTCGTTTCGACACACCAACTGGATGAAGTGTTTGGCTTCCATATAAGCAAAGGGATTGAAGGGATTAGAGTAATGAGAGCACAAAACAAACAAGCACCAAGGACTGGGCTTTAAGAGCTTAATTTAAAACAGGGCCACGTCCCGGCCTCAGTCCAATCCCCTCTGTTCCACTGGCAGCAGATGACCTACCTGCAGTGAAAATCCCCACAGGAAACAGAATTAGGCAGGCACGTTTGGGGCCATGAGCTCCTACCCCCTGCAGCATGCCGCGGACAGGGCTAGCCCACAAGAAGCAGCCTCAGGGACCAAAAACCAAGATCTGTATGCTGTCTTAGCTGCTTCTTCCCACCCCACAAAAGCCTGACGGCAATCCTCAGAAACAGCCACGCTGGGTCAGGCAGCCTGCAGTGGAAAGGTGCAGGCTGATTTACCCTGGTGCTTGGTGAGCAGAAATGACCTGAGTCATCAACAGGCACCAAGTATATACAGACACCAAGGATATATGCACACCAAGGTGCCGGTGTGTGTCCCGTCCAGTGACCGCTGTGCACGCACACCTCCCTACCACCGAGCCTCCAAGACAGTCTTTGCCTCATGTCTAGCAAACACACTATCCCTTCCAGTGCCATCCTTCTTGCTGGTCCCACTTGGGTGGTCCCACTTGGCTTCCTTCCCACAGGAAGGGAAGGGAAGGGAAGGGAAGGGAAGGGAAGGGAAGGGAAGGG